AGCAAGTTTATCTTGGAAAACAATTGTTCTATTCCTGCTAGTCTCTATAACCTGTCTTCATGTATTCTTAATTTCCAAACTTTTTATTTTTTTAAATTTTTTTTTGACAGGCAGAGTGGACAGTGAGAGAGAGAGAGAGACAGAGAGAAAGGTCTTCCTTTTCCGTTGATTCACCCCCAAATGGCCGCTGCGGCCGTGCGCTGCGGCTGGTGCACCACACTGATCTGAAGCCAGGAGCCAGGTGCTTCTCCTGGTCTCCCATGCGGGTGCAGGGCCCAAGCACTTGGGCCATCCTCCACTGCACTCCCGGGCCACAGTAGAGAGCTGGACTGGAAGAGGAGCAACCAGGACAGAATCTGGTGCCCCGACCGGGACTAGAACCGGGGGTGCCGGAGGATTAGCCTATTGAGCCGTGGCACCGGCCTAATTTCCAAACTTTTTAGATGAACTTGTGATAATCATAACTGACAATGGATACCTGCTACAAGTGAATTTGGCTAGTACTAAGCATGTCTTATATTCTTACCCCTAAACTGACCATAACATCCTGTTACTTAGCAAAGCAAGAAATGATCTACTAAACTTAATGACCCTTTGGGAAGGCAAGGTAAACTCATATAATGAAGTATCTAATACTCTTTGCTGTGCATATAAAATGCATTTTAATTAATTAAATGTATTTAAGTATTTAAACTCAGAACAAATCTATAAATGGTTCTTTGAATTTAAAGTAATATTCCATATATAATCCAAAATCTTAGCAGCAGCTTCTTTTTAATGGCTGTGCCTTCATAGCATAAACCATGTTCTATATAATCACTTCAAAAATATGCATGATAGAAAAGTTTTAATGCACATATAAGAAGAAACATAAGAAAGGATGACGATATTATGATAATAAGAAATATCTGGGGGTTGGTGTTGTGGCACAGAGGGTTAAGCAGCCACTCAGGACACTCTCTTCTCACATCAGAGTGCCTGGTGCCATCAAGTCCTGGCTAATCTATGCTTCCCATCCAGCTTCCTACTCGTGCACCTGGGAGGCAGCAGGTGATGGCTCAGGTACTTGGGTCCCTATCATTCACATGGGAGACCCAATGGGGCTCTTGGCTCCTGGGTTTGGTCTGGCACAGCCCTGGATATTTCAGGCATTTGTGGAATGAACTAGTAAATGGCAGATTTTTCTCTCTGTCTCACCTACTCTCTCCCTGTCACTCTGTCTTTCAAATAAATGCATAAGTCTTGGTTTCTTTTAGGAAAACTGTTGGCTACAATACTTTTTTCAGTAGATTATGGAGATGCTAGAGCTTCTGATAGAGTTGATATTCCTTAAATGATCCACTCAGTATATTGCTCTCTTCATGGTGGAAAAATATTGTTGAAAAGGAGTAGGTCTGAACACAGGTAAATTAAAGCGTTCTCTGACACTTTAAAGTGATTTCAAAGAAGATATAGTGTTTCATTAAAAGTGATAGAACTTGGGGCTGGCGCCATGGCTCACTTGGTTAATCCTCCGCCTGCGGCGCCGGCATCCCACATGGGCGCCAGGTTCTAGTCCCGGTTGCTCCTCTTCCAGCCCAGCTCTCTTCTGTGGCCCGGGGAGGGCAGTGGAGGATGGCCCAAGTGCTTTGGGCCCCTACACTCACATGGGAGGCCAGGAAGAGGCACCTGGCTTCTGGCTTCGGATCAGCGCAGCGCCGACCGTGGCGGCCATTTGGGGGGTGAACCAACGGAAGGAAGACCTTTCTCTCTGTCGCTCTCTCTCACTGTCTGTAACTCTGTCAAATAAATAAATAAAATATTTTTTTAAAAAAAAGTGATAGAACTAATCATAAACAAAGCATTGAAGATTTTTGTCCACTCTTGGATAAACTCAATCAAAGCAAAAATCCCTGACGTAAATGACTTATGGTTTCCTATCATCTCTAAATTTTTTAGAACAAATTTGTTCTAACACATACTCCAAAATTGTCATGCCTTTTATTTAAGAAAATTATCTGTTCATTTATTTATTATTTTACTTTAAAGGCAGAGAAGCAGAGATAGAGGGAAAAGAAAGAATAGAAGAGTGTGCCTCAAAAGGTACATGTGTGCAGGAAACTGGAATTGAGCTCAGGGCTGGGACTTGAACTCAAGCACTATAATATGGAATACCGACATCCCAAGTGGCCTCCTAACTTCTCTGACTTTCAACTAGTGTTGGAGATACTGTCATGGGATACCTCTTTGCCAAAGGGGAGCTCTTTAAATATATAAAATAACAGATATTATTTGCTACCAAGTTTCTCAAGTTTAAACTGTACTCAATTCCCTCAACTGTTTCTCAAATGAAAATGACCCCAAGATCTCTTAATATCTTAACAACTCCATATACCCCAGTGAATATTCTCTAGAGTAAGACTCATACCTGGACACCAAGGATCCAGCTGGGATCTCACCAAAGGACAACAATTAGACATTACTTATCTGGAAACCTACATGCATGGATTTAGTCAATTACTACATTTATTTTATTTTAGACCTAACATTGTTTTATCAGTATCTACATGATTTGAGAAAAACCAGAATTCATCCCCTGACTTACTGCTATGGTTTAAATGTTTTTGTTTCTTCCAAAATTTATGATTTGGAATCTGAATCACCAATGCAATAATACTGAGAGGTGGGGTCCAAGTGGGCTCTACCCTCATGAATGGGTTAACGTCACTATAAAAGCCACTGTGGGTGTGGGTTCACTCTCTTCTGTCATGGGAGGACACAGCATTCTTCTTCTCTGGATGCAGCAGCAACAAGGTGCCATGTTGGAACCAGCAACAGAATTTGCTGTCACCTTGCTCTTGAATTGCAAGCCTCAATAACTATAAGAGGACACATTTATGTCCTAAACGAATTACCCAGTTAATGATATTCTGTTGTGGCAACACAAACTAACTAAAACACCCACTAACTTTGCCTATAATTGGGGGCAGCCAATAAATTGAGTCAGAAGCAGGGTCTGTGATCCGATCAAGATCCTTAACATTCAATCAAGACAAAGATGTTGCATATTTCTCTAAGGAGCAAAGAAGCTATTAGAGACGAGGAGCAAAGACCCTCAGGAGTAGTATCACTGTACGAGCAAGGTAGACTAAGAAAAGAAAACCAATACATAATGAGAAATAAAGACCATTCTGGCCATTTCCAAGGGTTCTGGTCCCAATTTTCCATGAACTTCAGCTGTAGTCTGATGATCTCATGAATTAGCTGCATACAAAAGCTAAAAAGTGTTTTCAAAACCACTTTTACAAGTCCTAATTTACATATAAATGTTTCTGAGTTTTTACTTATTCTTCCTTCTCAACTTTATGTCCTATATTATCTTTCTATTATTGCTGTAATAAACTACCATGAATGATGTGGCTTAAATAATAGAAATTTATTATCCTACAGTTTTATAAATTACAGAAGCAAATCAAGGTATTAACAGGTGTTCTTTCTGGATATTGTAGGGGAGAATTTGTTCCCCTGTCTTTTTTCACTTCTAGAAGTCACCCATATGGCTTGGTTCATGTTCCCCTGCTTCCATCCTCAAAGGCAGCAACTTCTTGTTTCTGACTATTCTGCTATAATCCCATCTCCCCTCTAACCCTAACCTCAACTGGAAAGGGTTCTTTTCAGGACTATTGTGATTAATCTGTGCCTATCTGGGTAATCCATGAAAATTCTCATCTCAAAACTGAATTTTCAGCAAGCATGCATTGTTTATTGCCAAGCAATTAAATCTATTCACATGTTCTGGGAATTCAGGCATAGACATTGTTAGGATGGCAGGCACTTCAGCCTTGCACTAATAAAAAGGAAAGTATCCATGCCTCATAGTGTTCAATTCAGTCATAAAAATACGTTCAACAGGAGGAGTCAACAGGACCCTCCATATAAATAGTAACTTGTAAATTATAACATATAAATAGTAACTTGGTTTGGAAATGATAACATTATTTTCAAAGACCTCTTCAAAAGTGTTTTGGGAGGAAATTTCTGCTGGTTTTATCTTTCTCTGTAGATGAGTTTGGTAATTCTTAATGAATTTTCCCAGCATACATCAGAATGCCTTCTTTGAGATACAGAAATAAAAGTATTTCCATATCCATATCCTGAACGCCTAAAGCTCCTATCATTCCTGTGTATAAAGAGTAAACACAGCATCTCTCTTTGTTTTACTAATTGCTTTGTTTCCCTAAGCTTCTAGCACAACATCTGGCAGGCCAGAACGCACTCCTTCCACATGCCATAGAACCAGTGCCAGTTAAACAACCTACACATTATGGTGTAAGGGCAAGCACTTTCCAAGCAGCCAACAGGCAGTTTTCAAGAAGCAAGACCTCAAGTAGAAGTGAAACTGAATCACCTCCAAAATCTGGAGTTGTTGTTCCTGTAATGATCTCATAGCGTCTGCGATTTTATTGATTTTGGTTTCAATACAAGTGTTAAAGATGACAATTCTGAGATAAGCGGAATGTGGGCAGATGCTCACATCCTCACACACACAGTTCTGCCAAGATATTTTTACATTTTCTGCACATAAACCAAAATGAAGACATGTGTTATAGATGCGTGTTACCAGTAATCCACTAGAAGAAGAAGTTTATTGTATGCTCATTTCCTGGATGAAGAATTAAAAGAATTCCACCTAGGAAAAATGAATAGCACTTCTAAAATGAAAGTGATTTGGATCTGAGACACCCTTTAAAGCATTATTAATTACCAAAACCCATTGAAACAGCAATTTGGATCATCATGTTCAATATCGTCCCTGCCATTTAAATATTGGAACACAAAATGCTGCAGTAGCTTCCATTTTGTTGAGGTTCATTCGTCTCTGTGCACCAGAAGCCCCATTTCAAGTATGGCATGAAAGCAAGAAAAGTGGGCCAAAAACAAACTCAGAAAGAGACTTGAAACAGATCAACTTCAAGAAAAAACACTCAGATAGGGGAAAAGCTGCATGAGCATATGCTTACCTTGGGAGACTTACGCGGGTCCATTGTCCTTTCTTTATCTAAAGTTAACAGAGTCAACTTTGTCTCCTCCACTGAGGGATGTTTGGGAGGACGAGGTGGGGGGTGCAAGAGGGAGCTTTCATATCTTCGCACCAGGTAATATTGTTCTTCAGTAATCTCTTCCACCACACTCCGGACACAAAGTGATCCTGGGTCCATAGACAAATTACTAACTAACTGAACAGTCATATTCAAGCGGGCAACTGGAATTTCCCAGCATTCCTTGGGGTTGGCAAGCTCACTGATGACTAGGTATGAGTCAGTGATATCTTCCTCCAACTGCAGTCCTGGTGTGGCAGCCAACACGTCTTCTTCAATGGAAAGATCTCTCACAGCTACCTTCACATTGAAGGGCAAGCGGAACTGTTGACACAGCTCAGAAATGTGGTACTGTTTCTTATCGTGAATCACTTCTACAAAACCTCCTTCCATGTACAAAGGGAGCAGAGCTGCCTCATAGGACTTTTTGAGGATTTTTTCACAAGCCAGAACACTCACTACTTTTTCTATTCCTTCACAGAGGACTTCGGTCGTATCCGACTGATGCACGAGAAACTGGTCCCCAACAGACACAGATGACAGCTGGCCATGCAGGGGATCGAAGGCTTTGGTAGCCACCACATGCAGAGGCTCCTTTTCACTTTTTGCTATCTGGAGGTCATAGGCTGTTGGGAACTCCCGAGGTCGCCGCTTGAATTTGCCTTTGTAACTCGTGGGGATCAAGAAGTGTCTTTTAGGAAAATTGCTTCTAATTTCTGAGGCTAAGACCCTTGACGCCTGGTACTTTTTGTGGATCACAATGGTTTTCCCAGGCTGTAAAATGCTTCTAGGCAGCTTCTTTCCTTGAGGCGCTTCTATGACTTCAGCCACCATGGGGAACTCTTTACTGGTCATTTCAAAAAGATCTTCTGTAGACAACAGCTGAAGGAACCAGTTGGTATCGTAAGAGTCAGTAATATCTTTGACTTCCACATCTAAACTGGGGAGGATGCGGACTATATCCTTTCGGACTAAAAAGGAAGAAAAACAGACTATGACATTTCTTGCATCAAGACCTTTTCTTGTGAGATACACTCCAGGTCCCATAAATAAATTTCATTTAAGAAAAAAATGCTGAGATGATAACCATAATATAGCATTTCTTATGTGTAAAATTCCTTTTCCAAAATTTTGAGATGAAAGACATCTTATATAACATGAACACTATACAGCAGACATTAACCAGTACCTTGGAGCTCCATGAATCACACCAAAATCAAATCCGCCTCCCTGGAACCTAAGGGTAACCATGGTCTTGATTCCAGTGATAATCATTCCTGTGTTTATATTTATAGTTTTATTACACAAACTATACATGAATACAGCTATAAGTGTAAATATATATGTAAAAGAATATATGTGACATTAGCACATCATTTAAAGTCATGTTCTTGAGGTCCAAAAATGTTACATATAATGATATGTAAAATTATTGTAAAAAAATTTCATTACTTCAAACAAGACCTTTCATGTATTAGTTTCAAGACACACATTCTTTATACAAAATCATATCTTGTGAGTGAAAAAAAAATGGTACATGGTTGGAGCCGGCATTGTGGTACAACTGGTTAAGCTGCAGGCAGCAGCACCTGAATCCCATATAGGCACCAGTTCGAGTCCCAGCTGTTCCACTTCCAATCTGTCTCCCTACTAATGTGCCTGGGAAAGCATCAGAAGACAGCCCAAGTACTTGGGCCCCTGCACCCACATGGGAAACCAGGAAGAAGCTCCTAACTTCTGACTTTGGTCTGGCCCAGCCCCAGCCATTGTGGACATTTGAGGATTAAACCAGCAGGTGGAAGATATCTCCTTTCTCTCTCTCTCTCTCTCTCTCTCTCTCTCTCTCTCTCAACTCTGCCTTTCAAATAAACAAAATAAATCTTAAAACAAAAGAAAAAGAAAAAGAAGAATGCTATATGGAAGTAGAAACCAAGATGCAATCTTTTTCTGGTGTCAAAGTTACTTCTTTCCCCACTGGTGTAATATTACACCCAAATAGAAAAAGAGGGGTCAGAGGGAGTCACAGAGTGGTCATGCAGGAGACCTGGGTACACTAGTGGGTGTTTACCAAAATATTCTTTGCCTAACATGTCACAATTAACCCACTGTGCTGGAATATTTCTATCTTCCATGTATCAGTAGCCTGTCTTCCTTCTGCACTTTTCAAAATGAACAGTTTGTATCACTCACAATACATAACTCTTTAATAACATGACCAATGCTACCACTTTTTAAATTATCAACTGTTTAAGCAGCATCTGAAAACCCCAAGTCTTAATTTGTGCCCTATAACATATATATTTTATGTTTGTGAAGACATGGCATGAAAAGAGTGCTATTTTATTTTCTTGAAAAGCACAAATAAAAGTCAGTGGTTACCTAGAGGCCAAAGATCCTTTAATTTTTGGAAACAAAGTTAAGAAGGTTAAAAAATATCAGTTCATTATATACAGGTTAAAATACTCTACTAGTCTTTCCTAAAACCAAGAAAATTTTCAGAACTAAATTCTTGGTCATTTGGATCCAAATGAACTAGGTCTAGGAATTCTAGCTGAGTACCACTGGCTCTTGCATTCCTCAAATCTTGATTACGGCTAGAGACTGCTAGAATAAATGTCTTGAAGGACTTCCTGGGCCTCTGAATCCATCAGAACATTAGGGCCCTAATAATGCACTCTAGATCCCAATCTAATATTGGTGCAAGTGGGCACTATGGGCCAGGAGTAACCTTATTACCTTTGGAGAACTTGATAGCTGCCAGATAAAGCCTCCATGCCATGCTATATAACTTCTGTTATTTTTTATTACCTAATTACTGGATTATCATTTTTCTATGCCTAAATCCAATGAAATAATGCTAGTTATCTCATTTTACTTAATATATCAGCAGCAGTTGACAAAGTACATTTTACACCACCCTCTTTGGCATATTTTACTCTTTTCAAACTCGTGATTCATCTCAATTTCTTTGGTGGTTGGTTTCTTCTTTCTACACACCACCCACTCTTCACACATGTACGCCTTTTAGTTTTTCTTGGTTGTCTTTCTTTATGTATGATCACGCCTACAGTGATCTTACATAGTCTTATGTCTAAATATCATCTATGTGCTGATGATTCCCCAAAGTAAAGCTCTCGCCAATTCACTCTCCTGAGCTCCATATGTCTACTTAAGATTTCCACTTGGACATCTAACAGATACCTCAAAATCAACATGCCCAAACTGTAATCCGATCTCACTCCAACCCAGGCTGTCTGTTGCTTTATCTATCTTAGTTATTGCTAACTCCTTTCTCCTTGTTCAGTCCATGAATCTCAGAGACATCCTTAGATTCCCTTTTTACTAACACCTGAGATACACCACATCAGGACTACCCTGCTTAGAGGAGACTGCAGCAGCCCAAGCCACCGATGACAAACTACGGGAAGAGCCTGGCGCAAGTTCAGCTTGGAGCCCTGTGGCAGTGTACCTAAAAACCTAGAAAAAAAAAGAAAGGGGAAAGTTTCTCTCTCCCCAACCACCCGGAACCAGCATCCTATGACTAGCTGAGAGAGGGTGGTCACCATTTTGGACATATGCAACAACTGCACAAGCTTGTGTCTACCTGCCCAGCATCCAGCCAAGAGGAGACACCTGAGTCTGGCTGGCGGACTAGACAGGGGGCTGGGCGCTCATTACTGAGGGAGCCTTGTGTACTGGGACTTTGAAAACACTGTGGCTGCATAAGAGGGTGTAGGGTGTGCCTGGGTGTTTGCACAGTCACTGTGGGTGGCTCCACATTCTTGGGGCTACCTGATTCCCTGGTGAGGGTCATTGCTGTGGGATCCATACTCACACGGACACTGCACAGATCATTTGTGTGGTTCTTGTGGCAGCATATATAAATATTACACCCACTGAGGCTAGCGACCAGGCATTGGTCTCCTTTGAGGAGAGGAGGTAAGCATGAAACTATGTCAATAGAACTGATCAAACCTTCCCCTCTGATTAAAAAAAAAAAAAAAAAAAAGAGGAGATTTACCATGCTCAACTTGGTTGTCACCTTGCACACTCCTCTCACATTGGAACACTGAACAGAGCTCCCTTGCCACACCTCCCAGCACACACCTTTGGGTATTCACTGAAAGAGCAGACACTCCATTAAGCCACAGAGGAATAGCCCCCCCCCCAAGAAAAAAACCATCACGGGGGGGGGGGGGGGACAAGTATCTCCGCAAATGTCTAAAAATAAAGACATTCACTAAAAAAGAATAAGGAAGACAACATGACACCCCCAAAGGAACACAAGAACACTTCAATACTAGAATATGAAGAAGAAGAGTTTAAGAAACATGAGAAATGGAATTCAGAAACTTGATCATAGGATTACATAAAAGTAATCAGAAACAAACCCAGAGATTAAATAAATCCATACATGACATGAATGAACATTTTTCCCATGAAATTGAGAAACACTCAGCAAAGTGAAGAGGCAACTAACAGAATGGGAGGGATTATTTGCAAATTATGCAAGTGATAAAGGCTTTTTATCCAAAATATATATAAAGGGCTCAAGAAACTCAACAACAAGATACAAACTCACAGCTCCACTTCACCTCCTGGCCCTTACCTGGCTTACGTTGTATTGAGCCAACCTCTACCTACATTCTTGCTCTTGGCCACATGCTCACTCTGTATGCATGCTGGCAGTTAGCCACCTCTGTGAACTTATTTGCCATTGAATAAATTCAAGTTGGCTGTGAGTTTGTATTTTGTCTCCTCTCTGTTCTGCCCCTCTTTGCTTACACATGGGACTGAAAAACAAAGCAAGAATATGTAAATTTGTAGGGCAGTGGTAAGGCCTTCAGCTCCTTACTCCCTCAGTTTCAATATTCCATAGCAGGAGGATTATTCTCAGTGAAACTGAACAAGGCCCAGAAAGAAGATTCACAGAACCTGAATTTGAGGAAATGTCAAAATGAAACAGCAGGCATGATAAAATATGAAGCTTATAAATAGAGTGTGTATAGAAAGCGCTTTGTTTATAAATTTTTAAAGCACCTTACTTGTAAAGATGAACAAATGCCAAGTAATCAGCAGTCATTGATGTAAACATTTTAAAGAATGTGAAAACAAAATTTAAAAAAAATGAGACCAAAGAAAGGAGGCAGCACTTAGTGGGCAAGAACAAACTTTAAATAAACTGTAAAACATCCCCACAGATAAGATACTGTGTACATACAACCAAAACAGGATAACCTTTTTTAAATGATGTAAGAAATAATTCTTAAAAATTAAAACTGTAATAGCTGAAATTAAAAATGCATTAAAACAGCTGGAAATGGAACTAAGAATTTTTTCTGGTGGTGAACCAAAGACAAAGGCACATAAAATAGAAATGAGTCCTAGAAGATCAAGATGTGAGCTTCAACATAAAATGAAAAGTTAAAGAAAGAACATAAAATATAATTGGGAGGACATTATCTAAGAAGTTATTCTAGTATCAAAGAACTTATTTTCCACATTGAAAACTGTCATTATAATGAAAGAATATCCCCCACAACAGTATATTACTGAGAAACTTCAGAATATTACGGCTAATCTCGCAGCAGCAATGCATGCTGGAAGGTAGAAGATAAGGGAGAAATCTTTCAAAATTCTGAGAGGAGGGCAGGTGCTTGCTGCTGTGGTAAAACCACTGCTGGGACACCCGTAGCACCCATCAGAGTGTCTGAGTTCAAGTCCTGGCTCAGCTTCTGATTCCAGCTTCCTGCTAATGCCCACTCTGGAAGGCAGCAGGTGATGGCCCATAGTAAACTAGCAGATGAGAGCTCTCTCTCTCTCTCTCTCTTTCTCTCCCCATTTCAAATAAATAAAAATGAATAAATTTAAAATTATTTTTAGTATGAGGAGAAAGTATTTTCAACTTGGAATTCTTATATGTACATATATTATCAATCTCATGTGTATGTAGAATAAAGATTTTTCAAAC